TGTGATTTATTGTTTTCCCTGCCTATTCGCTGCTAGCCTAAGAAGCTATTCTAGCTACACTTGGATGGATAGACGAGCTCACGAGCTCAAACTGAGAGAATTTATTAACACTAGCCCTGGAAAGAGCAGTGTTTCGCAGAATCCACCACCGGATCGCGATCACGACCCACTGAGATTAATGTTGTTACAAAATTATAATTTGCGTGATTACTGGTGGTAGGACCTCTTGTGATTCCGCACGGGTAGGTACCACCACCCCGGCTATTTCTGTCGTGAAGCAGTAATGCGTTTCGGTTTGAAGGGTGGAGCAGCCGTTGTAACTATACTGAAACCTTAGAACTTATATCTCAAGGTGGGTGGCGCTTTTAAGTTGTAGATGTCTATGGGCTCCAGTAACCACTTAACACCTGGTGAGCTGTGATCTCGTTCAGCCATCTAATCAACAAAAAAGATATATGTATGAGGTTACATTTTTTTTTTGAAATGATCAAAAAATAAAAGTATACATTCTGTGAGGAATTATTTCGCACTAGTATCTGGTATGACATATAACAAAGGATCGACATCGGAGTAGCTAATCATAGATACCCACTTCCTCTTTTGATTTCGCAAACGTTACCGATGTGGGCGTACGAAAACAGATTTTTTTTAAATAACACCATCCTAGTGCAGCTCTGTGTTATCCAAATATGTATTTAAAATTTATATTTTTAAACCTTTTTTTATTTTTTTTATTGCTTAGATGGGTGGACGAGCTCACAACCCACCTGATGTTAAGTGGTTACTGGAGCCCATAGACATCTACGACGTAAATGTGCCACCCACCTTGAGATATAAGTTCTAAGGTCTCAGTATAGTTACAACGGCTACCCCACCCTTCAAACCGAAACGCATTACTGCTTCACGGCCAAAATAGGCAGGGTGGTGGTGCCTATTTCGGCCCCTACCCGTGCGGACTCACAAGAGGTCCTACCACCAGTGAACCTTCCTCATTTATCGTTCTTTCTGTTAGTTAAAATGGGTATCAAAATCGAATGCGTGGCTTAGAGAACTAAGCACTAGAAACAAAAGCAAACAGCATCTTAATTTGATACTATTTAAATATTAAAAGAAGTGTGTTCACGAATAATTTAGCGGTAGGCAGCGGCTTGGCTCTGCCCCTGGCATTGCTGAAGTCCATTTGCGACGGTAACCACTCACCATCAGGTCGGCTGTAAGCTCGTCTGCCTACAAGGGCAATAAAAAAAAAAAAGAAGTCTAAAGATAATTGCATATTTATATGACTGCTTACTTACTGCCTTTTTATTTATTTGAATAACGTGTGATATCACAAGCAGTAAGAAAGCGTATTGCACAAACTATTATTTTACGGGTTCTTCGGCTTAACTTACGCTATGATACTAATATCAGTTTTCAGTCTAATCGTTGTCAGGGCAGAAAATAATGGTAAAGTCCCACCAAAAAGAAGTTTTTATAGCTTAGATGTGTGTTATAGAGGTTACCGGAATCCGTAGACTTCTAACTACAACGTACGTGCCGCTATCCGCCTCGAGACATGAGTTCATGAGGTCTCAGATTTTTTAACAGTACAATACAAAGGCTGCCTCGCTCTCAAACCAAAAGGCATTACTGCTCCCGATCCGTCGATCGAGGGAACCGGTAGGGCGCCGGCTGTGAGGAGTTTTTAGTGAGGTTCAACTCCCACATACCCCACCCGCCCTGCAGGTGGAGATCCGGCGATTTTCAACTGTGGAAAAAGAAACAAAAAACAAAAATTACGCAAATTATAATTTTTGCGGGTTTGATTTTTATTATACGATATTATTCCTTTTTTGTCAAGTACGTATTTCATTAGAAAAATTGGTAGGTACCTGCCTGCGGGATTCGAATGCACCGGGCATCTTATCCTTTAGGCCCACGACAACCTCAAATCATACACTGCTCAACAATCGAACACTCTTGTTCTTTGAATACAATGCATTCGGCGTTGTAAAATAAAAACCATGACTTCATCAATGTATATTCTAATTTAGCGCCTATAAGGATAAAATGTTCCTTCTTAAATGCTTCAGTAAGTTAGCAGGGTTTTCCCATTACGATGACATTACCTATTTCGAATTATTGAACGTTAGCGTCGCAATAAAACGTTTCGATTGCATTCAAATTACTTCTTTACCTTACCTTACATATAACTTGGACTAGATTGTACTACTTGGAACCGCCACGCTCCTCCACACGAAGTTTCCAGAACACACATTACTATAGCTGGAATAGCCTCTTAAGCTACAAGCGAACAGGTAGGGAAGAAAACACACACGCACACGCACACGTTACCACGTATCATCAACATCGGTTAGAAATTCCCCTACAAATATTCCCCGCACTTTCACAATCAACGGGTGTACACTTACGTGCCTTTGAAGTAAAGCAAAAATAGAAGATAAAAGTAACCAACCTACCAATCCTTACGACCCAACACATCACGCCTCTAGCAATAGAATGATGCTACCATAATTTTTATTTATATTTTTGTTTAATTTTTTTTAAATTATCAACTTAAACAGCAGCCCGCTGCGTTTCTCGCCGGATCTTCTCAGCGGGTCGCGATTTCAATCCTGTAGTAGATTCATTCCCAAAGTAGCTGCTTTGAGTTGTTAGGTCTCCTCTGGAGGCGCTCGGGTAGCCGTTAGCAAATTCCACTCCTCCTGGCTGAGCCTTTGCTCAGACACCTGCCCTGGAGAAACTAGAAAGGCCTCCGGGCCGCTAGTAATCTTTCAATCATAAAAAAACGTATTATCAAAATAACAATTGTTTCTAACAATTTACCTTTGGCATTTCTGACGGCCACAAACGACGGTAACCCCTCACCATCAGGGGTGCCATATGATCATTTACCTACAACTGTAATAAAAACAAAGATGGAAACTAAACCGATGAACCTTTTTCGTTTAAAAGTCTCTAAAAGGTGATCTCCAAAAATTTAAACCTAAGAAAAATAATTGTTCACTTATTATGAAAAAACAACACGTATTTTTCATTTTCAAATTATGCTCATTATAATTTATTTAGTGTTAATTAAATTGCAAGCAACAATAACAGCTTGACAACCGGCACAAATAAAATACAATTTTATTCGATGATTTTCAAAATTGAAACAGGGTTGTCATATTTTTAGTGGTGGAATTTTGTGCTCACGCGAGTAGGTATCTCCATTCTGAACAATTTCTACTGCGAATTAGTCACGCGGTCCAGCACTAAGGGTGCCAAAGGTTTTATGCATAGCTTCTTGACTTGAATTCAACCTCAAACCTGTATGTGGGTGGCTGCATTATAGTAGTAATTTTTATAGACACCTCACCCGTCCGAGTCATATCAAGGACAATATAAAAAAATTATCTACCGTTCATTGTGGTAGGACGTCTTGTGAGTTCGCACGGGTAGGTACCACCACCCTGCCGATTTCTGCCGTGAAGCAGTAATGGGATTCGGTTTGAAAGGTGGGGCAGCCGTTGTACTATATTGAGACCTTAGAACTCATATCTCAAGATGAGAGCGGCAGATCGCTCGTGAATATTGTAATATCGTTACACAGCTTACAATGAAGGCAGAATTTCATCCCTCGATTTGGAATTTCCAGTATCAGAGATGTTAATATGAACAAGACCAACCAATCAATATTCAACGGAATATGCGTGAGCAGAAATTCATAGAACTGCCAATATTTATTGGGTTTTATGTTTGGAAAGGACGTGAGCATGAACGCGGCTTAGAAAGTGATAATTGACAAAACTTTATTCATTATTTAAAAAAAAAAAAATATAAAGGTTAAAGCCCGACTCAGCATAGTGACACGCGAAAAACCATTGCAACATTTTAACTGAAATCGGGTATGGCGTCACGAAAATTCACGTAATTAAAACATGTATAATAGAATTACTTTGATTCAAACTAAACAGAGTTAGTTATCCATTATGTTTATCTAGGGGCAAGACAAACAATAAAAAATAATTATTAGCGGATAAAAGTTATGTTAATACCCAATTATTCTTTTTTCGTACTTACTAGCGTATAAATAGGAAAAAAATACCCAATTATTTTAAGAATGAATTGTAAAATCACGTAATCTAGTCACATGTTTCTTCCATTTGTCTTTGTTTTCCAAACAAAACATTCGCACGTCAAAAAAAGGGCGCTAAATACATATCCATATCTCAGTATTGTATCTCTCTATCTCTCTCTTCGTTCGGTCCCTCACTGCCGAAGATCGTGACTCCGTCCGATTCCGTTAACCAGTTGTCTCCATCGATGCCGCTTTGTAGCTTGGTGAAGTGCGTCGCTAACAGGTACCCCCAGTTCCTCTGCTACTTGGTCCGACCATCGTTTGGGACTTCTGCACCTAGGCCTTTTTCCCTCTATTTTACCGGTCACCCCAAAGCGTTCCAACTTGCCGGTATCCCTGCGTGCAACATGACCAAAATACCGCAATATTCTTTGTAGCTGCCTGAGAATAGAGATGTTGTTGCGGCTGGCCGTCCATGGTATTCGTAGCATACGTCGCCAGCACCACATCAGTATTGTATCATCATTCATCATTATCCTGCCCTTCTCCCAATCATCTGGGGTCAGCGCAACATGTTTTCTCCTTCCATACTCACTCACTCCCCTCTTAACCATATCGTCTTTCACGCAATCCATCCATTTCTTCTTAGGTCTACCTCTTCATCTATATCCTTCCACATTCATAGTTAACAACCTCTTACCAACCTCATTTTCATTTCGTCTCATCACATGTCCATACCATCCCAAACGCGCACTTCTCAGCTTCTCTGTCACAGGTGCCACTTTCAGACTTCCTCTAACATATTCATTCCGTATTCTATCCATTCTCCATCGCAACATTCGCATCTCTGCTGCATGCAATCGCCTTCACAGTATTGTACAGTAGTAACACAGCAGTATTATAATAATATGTAGTTCTAAAATTGTCTTATCTCTTTCAGATGTGATGATGGTGGAGGCGGCGCGGCGACAGGTACCGGGGGTCGGGCAGCGTCGTTGCGGCTCGCGAACGGGCGGGTCGCGGCGCAATCGGCGGAGCAGCTGCCCCACTCGCCGGCGGATTGCGCTTCGGTGCGCATTTCCATCGACAACACCAACACCTGCTGCACCGACTCGCTCGTCACCGCACTCGACGACGAGACGTTACTGTTAGGTAAGATATCTACTATAAAACACATCACATCAGAGGAAACCAAAAAATCTTATCGCATACATTGCAACGTCACCGACCCATCTTGAGGTGCTTTTTGGTACCACAAACACCGGTCACCGCCCTCGTCGAATCGAACCAGCCGCTTGCGACGAAGGGCTCGACGAGCGAATAAACCCATAGATACAGCCCACTGAGTTTCTCGTCGGATCTTCTCAGTGGGTGGTAGATTCTACGAAGCACTGCGCTTGCTAGGGCCAGTGTTAGCAACACTCCGGTCTGAGCCCGTAACCTCACCTACATGTTAGGGCAAAGCTGCAATATCCTCTCAAGGCTATCAGCATAGGTAGAAAAAAAAACCATCTTGAGATATGAGGTTGGAATCTTAATCGCATTAAGGTGACGACAACTCGCACTAGTTCGTGATCATCAGTAATGAATTGCGTCAAATTTAAAGTTCAAATTACGATTTTTATAAAAATGTAATGTTTTTCCTTCGTCGTACAAGGCTTTTTTTAACTCCCACCACACCGAACTAGTGCTTCGTGAGAATAGTAATGTATTCCGTTCTTTGGTCTGTGAAACTTTAAAGCAAACACTGCGCGTCTTGCTATTGACAATTCGTTGGCTTTTTGGGCACTAAAAACGGCTTTATGCAAAGTGCTCCTAGTATTTTTATCGTTTTCTTCGTTGTTAGTTTTGTCTATTCGAATACGAAATGAGTCGACGTTCCAAATGGAGTTCACGAACAGGGCAATGTGCAATCGCTATTTCGTCTTCATTTATATACGGCTACCGTACCCTTCAAGCTGGAACGCATTTTGCGAGTTTGTATGCGTGTCTATTATAAACGTTTGTTTATAATAAAAAAACAAGAAATCATAGAACCAAACACGAATGAAGTAAAAGACGTATACAGAAAAAAGAAACCGAAAAAGTCCCTTCGTATGGCACGTAGCAATTGATATATTTTTATTTAGATATAACCCTGGGAGAGTCGACGTCAGACCGAAGGCCGATCGTAAAACTCATGCCAAATCCCTGTGCAGCATAATATGAGGACATGCTGCGCCGATCCCACATTATGTGGAACAAGGGCAAGAAGTAGAAGAAGAATAAATCATATCACTAATTCAATAATATAGTTTAGTACCTTTAATACCTAGTACCTAACTTTAGTTCCTTTTTTGCCTTTATAGGTAGCCCATATGACCCATCTGATGGTGAGTAATTACCATCAATCATAGACGTGATGAATGCAAAAGGCAGAGACAAGTCGTTGCCTATAAAATACCTAAATAAATTGCTCTATACATAGTACTTCAGGTAATACCTTTTAAATAGGATTTCGAATGACGACCTTACCAATTTTAATTAAATATTTAATTTTATAAGTGAGTAGTCAGTCAGAACAGAATTGGAAATGTTAATGAATGAAACTATTTCTAGACACCCTTACCGCAAACGTCTATTTAAAGCGCCCTCAAAATACGACCAAGAGCAAACGATCGAACTCAAATTTTAATGTCCGTTTTTGTGAAATCTATATCAATGTATATAAAAATGATTTGCTGTTCGTTAGTCTCGCTAAAACTGGAGAAAGGCTCGACTGATTTGGCTAATTTTGGTCTTGAATTATTCGTGGAAGTCCAGAAAGGTTTAAAAGGAAATGAAAACATTTGAAAATGCTCGGAATTAAATAAAAATAACAACTTTGTTTTTCCTTTCATGTGTCACCCGTTGGATGGATTCCTTTTGTTTGTTTTAAGTTCATTTTATACAAAAGTTTAGGTCTTTTATTTATCGATTGAGGCACTATGAAGTCTGCCGGGTCAGCTAGTTTATTTATTTATTTATTAAGTTGCACCAACAAAGTGATCATCAATACAAAACATTGACAAATTGCCAAAAGTTCATGGTAGATGTCACCTCAATTATAGGTGCAATCGATAGTGCATTAACATCAAAAATAAAAAAAATATACAGCTAAGATTTGAATACATTTCATTCATTGCTTAAGATTAATTTAATTGGGAGATGATCCGCGACAGATTTTTCCTGTAAGTAGTGAGACAATCAGAAAAAACATCTATTTCACTTAAAATAAGTTCAGCGCAATAATAATAATAATTAGAATAAGGATGACTGTTGAGTGGTACTACAATATTTCAATTTGGAATAACACTTTTACTAAGTCAACGTAGAGCTCCAGTTCTATTTGTGATTCCTACTTTATTATTATTATTTAATTGAATATCGAATAAATCAAGTCGTAATTCAACCGGTATCACTATAACTTTTCGACTAATTCATTGAAAACTTCGATTAATTGGCTAATTACTAGAGTATTTTATTATTATTTTCACAATCAAAATGTCCAACGCGTGTCACGTTATGGGAAATAATAACTTAATACTCAAACATTTCTTCGAAGAGCTATATGTATAATGATTTCGAAATACCCAAGTTGACCATAAAAACGGCTTATCCATTTTATATTACCGTGAAAAGCGACTGCTCAGTTACAGAACGTGCAAGTTCCCTTCCCAAATCCAAGTGCACTTTTTTGTTATTAAACCAAAAAAAAGTGACAAAAAAATCAATACGATTACAGAGTGCCCTGTACTGTATAATCGTGGTATCAATTTGTTTTTCCCACGTCGAGAATAAACTTTACTGGTGGTAGGACCTCTTGTGACGGTGCACGGGTGGGGCCCTGCTTATTTCTGCCGTAAAGCAGCAATGCGTTTCGGTTTGAAGGGGCAGCCGTTATAACTATACTGAGACCTTAGAACTTATATCTCAAGGTGGGTGGCGCATTTACGTTGCAGATGTCTATGGGCTCCAGTAACCACTTAACACCAGGTGGGCTGTGAGCTCGTCAACCCATCTAAGCTGTAAAAAAAAGGCGCAAGATTCAACGTAACGCCTGAATATGAACACCGCTTCCTGAAACAATTAAGGAGTACCGGACATTAAATTTTCACAGTATCTGCTCTCCGTCTGTACGCTTAAGTATTTATTCGCTCCCTCTAACCTACAAACAGTACAGGATAGATGCTGAACATAAATAAAAGAAGTGTGTGTGTGTTTGATCGTTTTTTGTTGTTGCAAGAATAAAAAGCGCACTGCAGTAATGTGCTCGAAATGACTCCAGCACCGTTTATGACTTTTTGTGTGGGTCGATGAAGGAAACGTTGTATTAATCTGCGTATTGTTTTCAGTGCGCTCGTACACGAAATAGCGCCTTAACACGTTGATTGCGGGACCATTTTTTGTAAAACTCTTAGCCAGTGCGTTTGAGGTATCTTCGAAGCAAGATCGGACTTCTTTGCAGTGCGTATGGGACATGATAAGCCTCAAAAAGAACCGTTTCTTAATATGACTCATGCCCATAGAAACCTGGACACGGTCGCCTCACGTTTCGAGCCTTAGAACACGAGTATGACTGCCGCATCCGAGGACAGTTGCGTATGGGACTTTTTAAACCGCACAACGCATTCAATGTTGTGCTAATTGTGTTAATTGACATCTGCTGTCATTACATTAATTGTAGGTGTAGGTTTTCGGTACGTTTTAATTGGAATCTTTAAGAATATTGAACCGTGCTATTTTCCAATTGGCGCGATGTTAGAAAATGTTTAATACAAGTGGGCGCGAATTAGGGAAACGGCTCTTCATATAGAACAGTTTTTTTTTTTTTTTTTTTTTTTTTTTTT